AAATATCGGTGTAGTTTGACACTAGCCAAACGTAATCTTATTTAGAGTTATCAGTATAGTAGTGATTGGCTACATTGAGAGTACACTATGGTTATGGTGGATCGACAAAGGATTCATCACACCTGGGTATAGGAGAAATTATCTCGGTGAGAGATCGATAAAGGACAATGACCTTGAATCTGAGGCCACAGTGGAATCGAGTTGGTGCTCGCTTGGTAGCTTGATCCGATAACCGAATAGCTTATACTTGAAGCTGACATCATTTTTATGCTTCAAACCTTGAAGAGATAATAGATGATGAAAGGATTGGATTGCATGATAACCACACTGTTGACAAGTAGCGAATACGTTGGATCTGAATCTATTGGGTGGCCATGATGCCTTGCTAGTGACCAATCTTGGTCAGTGTAATGAGATGATTCATAAGGTGTTGATCACAATATTACTCACTACCGATATGATGAGAAGCCTTCGGGTCACACACTTAAAAGACAATTTAAAGAAGATAGAGTGTGAAGGGCATTTTCTTCATTTACTGATGAAAGGGTATTTTCCTAAATCTTACGGAGCAATTAAATTTGCTGGAAAGATTGTTGCTTGGATCCAATTACATAGTGGATTTAATTTGTAAGACTAAGTATTTATTCAGACAAACAAACAAACACACACACACACACACACACACACACACACACAGATATATATATGTCGTATATATATTAAATGACTAAATAGTCATTATTTAAAATAATATATCAGTATATATGCATTTTAAATATGGAATTATTATTATACGATAATGACAATAATAATAAAATACCAAACCGACTTTTTTGGGCACTAAGTAAAGTCTAATCTAATTAGATATTAGTGGAGGATATTTTAGTGATATCCAAGAGGCTTTAGGATGAGGGCTTGCCTATAAAAAGGGGCCTTAACCTATTTCCAAAATTGTTCATTATTGCCACTCAAGCTAAAGTGTAGACAAATATTCTCTCTGAATTTTTCCAGTCCTCTTTCTTCTTTTAACTTCACCAATTAAACTAGCAAATTAATTGAGTGTTGATTCTTGCCTTTGTGTGAATATCGTCGGTTCACTTCTATCCTTGAAGTGTGAGTGTTTTTCATCAATCAATCGGTGGAGCCTTCAAACATGGGTAAGAATCTAAATCCTTGAATGCGTTTTGATGCTTTGATGTTCTATAAAATGTAAACATCGTAAAACTCATATTTGGATGTTGGGCTTTAAGGTTTTAATCGGTAAATTTTTGTTTTTCACTGCGTTTTACTATGATTAATTTCTAACACAGCTCACCATGTATAAAACTACATACTTTGATTAAACGGCACCCGGCCATGCAAGCTCCACGTGCTCTCTATGCAACATAACCAAGAGGATATCTGTAAAGACACCTACTATTAGAAGGGACATCCATCATTAGCTACGACATGGAGGCAAGTAAGCTTCCAGCCACTGTGCGACATCAAACAATGTGGCTGATGCACTCACCATCATGACATTTTGAAACTCTCTCTCCATGTAAAACAACAGCAGCCATAGAGGAAAGGAAAGAGGGAAAAGAAAAAGAAAAGAGAAGAAAAAAGAAAAGAGAAAGAAAAAAGATAAACACGCATGCACTCTAACAGACAAATAAAAGAGCCATCAAACACGACTCTTTCTAATCTCAGGCCTCAGTGCCAACCAGAAGGATTTTTCCGATCGGAAAAATCCATCCTTTGTATACCCAACACCACACAAATAAATAATATATCAATGGACGAAGGCCTTATTCGCTTTTTCGGTCGAACCACTCTAAAAACATCTAGTTTTCCTTCTTCTATCGGGAGGCACATCACCACCTTAAGCATCGCCACATGTGACACGGGTCCCTTATGCTGATTCCTAGGAATACGCACCCATCTTAGTATCTTACTCGGTTCTCTTAGGAGTCAATCGAGTACCTCTGGTTGGTGTGTGTTTATGTTCTGACAATTTAGTCAGTACAGAAATTCGCATCAACAGCTAAGAAAGATAGAGAGAATATTAGAGATTCAAAGTCATATCAAATATTCTCACATAATCCCTTGAGCTCAAAATCCAAATCAAAATCATCACTCTTTTGTACTCATTTGTAAACCTTTGAGAGTATTGTTCTTATTGTGTGTTCAAGCCTAGCTTAAGAGGCAATCTTTCTCACACTTTTTATCAAACACTTTGTGGGCGAAATCTAGTAAATCTAAGATGCAAAATCTTGTCAAACTAATGTATTTGGCGAAATCTAATTTTGGTGGAACTTTAAGGAGGTTGCCTTGAAGAAGTGGATGTAAGAGGCTTGTGGATAGAGCTTCAAACCACTATAAATCTTTGAGCATTTCTTATCTCTCAACTTATTTATTATTCCTTGCATATTTACTCAAAGCGTCGTTATCATTCACTCACCTCAATTGCTCAAATTCATAACTCTCTTATATTTATTACCTAACATTGTTTATCCTTATTGTTCAACATCATTCATATTTATTGCATATCATTGCATATCTTTGTTGGTGTTGTATGTTGATAACTTGTTTGGGTTGGTGAAAATTTTTATTCCGTAGGACTATTTTGCTATATAAGGTTTTACATTTTATTTTTTTTCCTTTTTTCTCAAAGTTGATCATGGTGGACATGTTGTCATTATTGATTTTTTGGTTCAAGTACCAAAATAGTTATTGATTTGCTTATGTAACTTATGATGAATGTGAGGGAAAAAAGGGTAAGAAGAGAAAAAGAATTTAGAATTATCTTTCCGTGCTTGGTCAGGTCTTCCACAAAATAAGCTTGGATTTAAGTACAATAGTTTAACTAAAGATATGTAGAAGCTCTTAATTTATTTTTTTATAGTCTTTTAATTTTTTCCCTTAGTAAAACTGTAAAAAAGTATATAATGGAAATGAGTTGAATGAGTTTAATTATATTTATTGAAAATTAGAATCCACAAAGATTATTGGGATTTATCAGATGCTTATATTTACTAAAAAGTGGGATGTATAAATGTTTTTGGAATGTTATTGGTGTCCTACGGTATAATGTGTTTAAATACGGTAAACTTTTGAGATTTGTAAATTATTTAGAAGAATATTTAATATAACGCTTTAAAAAATTGTTTTGAACAATATTATTATTGAAAAATTATATTTCATTTTACTTCTTTTTGATAAATACATGCATAGTAAGTAAGATAGATAATATTAATAGATATTAATTGGGATATTTAAAAAACGGGCAATACTACACTTACCGATCAAGCTACCGATTTTTACATACCAATCCACCTGCCCAATTACCCAAATCTCAAAATTTAACTCAATTCACATAAGTCAGTATGTCAAATCGGTAGTTTAATCAGTAACTCAAGCATTATTGTTAAAAAACCTGGGCCAGGTGTATTATAAGAGGTTACAAAAATTAAAATAGCCCCCTATATAAAATTTCAAAAATCTCTTAAAAAATTTTAGGGAGCCCCCTAAAAACTACATTTTTGTACTTCCATAATATAAAATTGAGTTAATAACATTAATTTCCCTAAAGAATAATTTAATAACAAAAATCCCTTAAGATTTTAGGAATTTAAAAAAAAAAAAAAATCGCTTACCATTAATGAATTGTTAGTAAACCAATATAATTTACATTGTTATTAATTAGTAAATATTATCAAATTACCCTCATGCCATACATTTTAGCGCCTAAAGTTTAACAATAATAGAATTTATGTTATTTTCGAAACCTCAAGGGAATTTTGTTATTACATCATATCTCATAGAGATTAATGTCATTAACTCTATAAAATCATGAATAACACTCATAAATTACTATAGTTCCACCTATCAAGTAGAATTTCTAAAACCCCTCATCATATCTACGAAACCCACCCGGATAAGCCAAGCCTGGCTAGGCTTTGTGAAACCACCGCTTTTTCTAGACCCAGGCTTGCATTTAAAAAAAAAAGTAGTGCCTAGGCCGGGCAAGTTCGACCATTGTTTGATTAAACCAATGTTTTAATAACCAACCCCAGATGAAATCGGGCAAAGTTGTTGAGTCTCGATTGATCGGTTTGACCGGCCCAGACCATTGTTTGATTAAACAAATGTTTTAATAACCAACTCGGCGTGACACCCAACAAAGTTGTCAGGTCTTGAGTTGACTAGTTTGACCGACCGATCAAACCAAGTGACAAAACTTTAAAATTCAATAAATACACCCTCAAAATTTATTAAGTCCCTCCAAGTTTGAAATTTAGCAAACATATCCCAAATACAAATCAGTCAACGACTGGTTGGCGGTGACGACACCCCAAATGCAATCTTAATCATCCCTTGAGCCCATTCCCCAGAATCTACCTAAGATCTGGCCGAAATCCATTTGATTTTGGCAAGATCTCTCCAATGCCGACGTTGATATTTTAAGCTAAATCTCACCGACACCAGTGTCAACAATCTTCCCCATCACCCAAAAAATACTCCCCTATTTCTCCCAACCAAAACGCACCTCACCCTACCCTAATTAGCCTCGCCAATCACCGAAAAAAGTCGGCTATTGTTACTGCCTATTTTTTTCGATTTCCGATCGATTTACTCACCGGAAATCAACTCCATTGCCTCCATTGCACTCATCGGCACTTTCTCTTCAAAAGCCCCAACATCCCGACATTCAATTGTTCACCGATTATCATTCCAAATTCTAAGATTTTGGGTAAATAGAGAAATTGTTAACCCGGTCCGGTGAAGTTCCCAAGTCCCGATTAAACTGGTTAAACCGATCAGGCCGGGTCAGGTTTTAAAACAGTGGATTAAACAACCCATAACTTAAAATCTAACCAAATAAAAAAAATGAAAACATGAAATAAATTCTCTAAATTACTTTAAAAAATAAAACTTATACATAATTATGACCAACCAAAAAAGCTGATTTTCATTTTTCCCTCAAAAGAACACCCTGCTACTCAGAAAAATTCAACCAATTCTCCTTAAGCTTCATTGAAGATAGAGCTTACAACATAGGATGCTTTGAGAGTTAACCTTCTAAAGAGGGAAGACTATCAACAGTATAAGAACAAGCTAATCAAGTGATTGTACTAAAAGCTTTTAACAATCAAAACAAATTCAGAATTCTTATGATAATTGTATTATAAAAAAAAAAATTAAACAAATAAAAAAAAGAGGTGGAGAAGTAGGTAAATTACAACAAAATTCTTATGGCTAGGTATACAATCAATACAAAACATGCAAAATTGCTTTTACAATAAAAAAATGTTCCTAATTAAACCCAAATCAATGGCACCCATTGCAGCATATTCAAAATTTTCGTGCCTGCATGAGATAAAATGAAAAGAATGCATGAGATAGTGAAAAAATTTTGGCCTCCACAATTATAGAGTAGGTAAGAAATAAATAGTGCACCAGCAATAAGAACATTAGTAGCATCATGATACGATTTCGTTAGTGACAGACTAGAAACCTTGCCGAAGTTTTTAAATGGGTTTAAAACCAAATAAGACACAAACCGAGCTCCAAAGTTGACATTTATATGTTTTTATTCCTTTATATAAGGGGTATGCATAGGTCACTATGCAGAACAAAGGTTCAACATGGTCATGAAACTTAAATCCTACAAGATCAAATCAGATTACAGTCGGCAATTTCCAGTCTTTTCCTCCTTCAAGTACAGTCAATTAATTAATTCGGACACATACGCACCATGACAAGCACGACACAGATCTTTATCTTCTTGAACCACAGGATCAAATTAAGAAACTGAGAGGAAAAAAAGAGGGGAAAAAATATAAGAACATAGCACAACACAGAAAAGATAGAATGAAGGACAAAAATCATGTACAGTTAACATAGTTCCATGATAAAATAGACAGCAAGCTGATAAAATCTTCAGCCCAGTACCCATACCCTAGAGAACAATTAATGCTCATATCGGAGGTATATTTAAGGCAAACTAAACAGAAAATGGGATTTCTTACAGGACACTCTTATACCTATCATGCTCTATTTAATTCTGAAGAAGGCTCATAACGGTTTAATGAATTAAAATAATATATAAATTATTTTCTTTCCTCAATTGCTTGTGCAAATTTTCTTTCTAAAAAAGCAACAGAATAACTATAAAACTAATTTTTCATACTTTAATCATGCAGTATCATCCTAAAATTTGAACCATATTCAAATCTTAAAAAACCAGGACGCATGTTCGTATGATAAACCATGGAAGATAACTTGTGTATACAGAACATTACAGAGAACCCATCACTGTCTCAGTCGTGCTGCCAAAGGCTTTGGAGGCCATATTTGAATGCAGTCCAAATGTATCATAACTACACAGAATAGTTGCACGAAAATTAGTAAACAATGGATAATTTCCTAGCTAGTTCTGGTAAAAATTGAGATTGTAAATTAATTCACTTGTTCAAATATGTAATGCCTAGATCGCTGCATTCTAAGTAAGTGAAGCATCTTAGTTTCGAGTCTTCCACAAAAGCACACATTATTTTTGTTTCCATCATGTTTCCATCATAATCATGGCATTGATTTAGCCAAATCTAGACAAAATATATAAAGGAATTATTCAGATCACAAAGATAATAAAAACTAGCTTGATTCTCGCAACTTTCACACATTAACTAGATTTTGGAAAGTCAATGTGCAGAAAATGCCCAACTCTTCAATAAAATATAAGCAAAGACAACATTATTAGAATTACCTTTTGAAAATTCAATCACATATCGTGAACTATTGCAAAAGATGAATTACATCAGCACAATCACCAAAATATCTGTCAAAGTTTAGGAACTCAAAAATACAATATTGAAAGAGTGAAATTAGCGAAAAAAAGGGTTACAACAGCTGGCAAATCTCAACTATTTTCCCTTCATTTTGAGTAAATTGGATGATAAAAACTAAAGCAACATGCAAATTAATAAGATATATCACTAGGTATAGCTTGGGCTAAAATTAGGTAGGGAAATAGACATATTATATCCTTTAGAGAAGAACAAAAACGAGGATACTGAAAAGATAACACTCCCACCAATCCAACATGTAAAGTCCAAATGTGACATTATAGATATAGATCTTGCATTAAACGCAGTTAATTGCTCTCTTACCTACAAACAAAAAATTTGTAAATGTGAATCCACAACAGGAATCAAACTAAAATAGGCATGAACTCAGCTAAATTGACAAAGCCAAGGTATTAGATCTATAAGATAGACAAGAAACCAACGTTTGTTGACTGAGAATTGCCGACGGCTAATAAAAAAATTGATCTTGTTTTTGTACTTTGTTTAGTGATCACAAAGACAAATGATAACAATTTTAAGAAGGCTTCATTCTCTGGATAAAGTTAAGGAACATATGGATCATTGGAAGAAATGAAAACAAATCTAGCAGCATATTTTTCTTATTTTCAAGAATTACCAAGAAAATCTCCCAACCCCGCTTAGCGAGTTCAAGTTTGACACTACAAATTATAGCCCACAAGAACCTATAATCTTTGAGAAGCAGAAAACCGATTTCACAAACAAAATGGTAAAAAATGGACGAATTAAATTTACGCCCAACAGGTTTCTCAGGAACTAAACATTGATGTGAATATTTCAAAATCTACCCAATTCTGATCAAAATTCTAATTTTCACGTAGAAAATGATAACAAAACGAATTAAAAATTTCAAATTTGATGTTTGATGATGTAACAAATCAAATTAAATTGTCTCCAAAACTTAACAAAATAGCTCAAAATCTGTACAACTTAAGGTATAAAACTCCTAAAATCTTCACAGCAACCAAACAGATCTAACTAATTAAACTTAATTTCTAAATCCCATTCAGATAAAACTAGACTAAAAACAACAAAGACACATGCAAAGAACAAGAATGAAATAAAGTAAAATAAAATACCAGTAAGAAAAGATGATCCAACCCAGAAGTGAAACTGACCTGTTTAGCAGAAAGCTTTCTTCTTTCTTTGTTATTCAGACAATTTGATTGAAAATATTATGTGGGTCGATTTCGATTAGTTTGTTCGTTTGAAAAAATTGTTAATTGGGGGAGAATTAATAGAAGAGGACTTAAAATTTTAAACCCCCTATAGTTAAGAGTATATTGAAAAACTTCGTGTTGTTTTTTACCAACAAAAGACATCCCTTAAATAGTGAAATTACAATATTAATGGTATTATTGGAGTTAATAGGCCCTCTGCGGTTTCATATAATTACAGCAGCTCCGTTTGGTTGGTTATTTAGAATAGCATTCTAGCTATTTCGCATTTTTGGAAAATAAAATAGGATTCTGAGAAGTTTTTTTTGTACATTTCTAAATGGCATTTTCAAAAAATATTTAAATTATTTTTAACCCTTTAGCATTTTCTGACGACCAAATGTGGTTAGATTTGGCCGTCAATAGCCAAATCTTTGACTGTAGATCTAACATTTTTTGGCTAGATCCACTATAGATCTGGTTGAAAAATACCAGATCGACGCATGATTATCCCAATCCAGCCAGTCGTACGCAATTCCTATAGATTCTGGCCACCTTTCGACGGTGACCGGAATCTGACAATATGTGGGTGGGGGGGAGAGGGTGTTTTTGTTAATTTATAAACTTTTATTGTTGGGGGTGTTTGGTTAAATTAACAAACCTAAGGGGTTAAAATAATCTAAATATTTTGAGTTTATTAGAATATGATTGGATTTTGAGAATATTAAAACAAATACATTTTTGAGTTTTTAGGATAGGATAGTGGAATAGGATGGGATAGGAAAAGTGTGCCAAACAGACCCGCATTTCCCTTAGGTTTGTAAAAACAACAAAGTTCCCCATTGTTAGTGAGCTGTTAAAACTTACACTAAGAAGTGAATGTATATTTATCAAATTGTCTTTCTACCGTTTATTTTAACACTTAAAAGTTAACAATAGAAGAATTTTGTTATTCTAGGAACTTCAAGAGAATTTTTGTAATTCAATCAAAATATCTCAGTGGAAAAATATATTATGCATTACACTACACAAGTGAGGGAGTTTTCAAAATTTATGAGTTGAATCATTTTGATCCCTAAAGTTTGTCTAATAAGGTCGAGTAAAATCCAAAAGTAACATTGTATGGGCAAAAATCCGTATTGTACCCCTGTTAGGCCCAATCGCAAACGACTCCATCTCAGAGTACACAGCAAATAGCCCAATGTCACAATCCAACTCCAATTGGTTTCATGTCAAAGCCCATCAGTTGGAGGGTCCACTCTATGATCTAGGCCGCTCTACAAATTGGGCTCATCTATGAGTCGGGCTACTCAAAAGGTCACATCTCTTCAGTAGGACTTTGAATCCCATAGGAATTCTAACATTCCAAGGATTCTGAGTCTCATACAAATTTCAACACTTTAAGCACTCCGAATAGGAACCTATACTCCTAGTTTCATCGAAACTAGCACTCCGAGTTTCATAGGGACTCTAACCACCTTAGCTCCCTATGAATACAACAGTTAATCCTTCCAGAAGGGCACTCGTTCACACATAATTCCTCTCTTTCACTCTCTTGTCCTTTGCTCTCTCAAGAGTCATCGTTCCTAGTCGTAGAGTCGAGTTCTGACCACTCTACGCCAATAGTCGTGCCTAAGCTCTACGGTGATGGTCACCTCTAAACCTTATCACTTTCTTTTCTTATCACAACCGTGCTGACTTGAGTGTCAAAGTGCTTACGACCGACACCATACCAATGTTCAGGACTTCGCGTTCATCCTTCTCTATATCTCTACATGTAGGTCTACAAGGTTGTCATTGGCCTCTTCCTCACCGAATAATCCTTGCAAGCATCCACGGTAGATTCCAACTGTCTACAAACACTTAAGCACTTGTCAAATGTCAATTATCAGCTGATTGAAAATTTTCTTAAACATTTAAAATACCCATTATTTTGTCCTATATAAATGACATTACAAATTAATAGAATTATATAAATAATTAGCGTTAACTAGTAATTCTTTTAAAAATTTAGAGTAATTTTGTTAGTTATGAGAGAATAAAAATTAATGTATGAGTACATAATACAAGTAAAGGGGCTTACGTTCAAAAGCTTGGAAATAAAGTTTCGTTATTCCATAGGCTTAAAGAGAGAAGGATAACGAAGTTGGTAATGTTAAAAAAAAAAAAAAAAAAAAAAAAAAAAAAAAAAGGCATGAATAGAGATTTAGTGTTGTTAGGATTGTATAGATTTACTAAAAGCTTGTCTTGTTTGAACTGGCATAATATGCTTCTTTAATTGTGAAACAGTATTATGTTATTGGAATGTGATAATATGTTTCTTTAATTGTAAAACATTATTATGTTTCCTTATTCGAAGAAATTTTAGATATTATTACAATATTATGTTTTCTTATTATATAGGTTAATTTTTGTATAAATAGGTAATGTTGATTCAATTATGATCATTACAATAAATTATCTCCTTGTTTCTCATTTTCTCATAATTAACTGAATTATCTCCTTTCACTAAGTCAAATTTTGATCAATTTTAACTACCAAAATATCTTATTGAGTATTTTAGTGATAGAAGGTTGAATTTTGGTGGTTGGAATCTCACTTGGAAGGACGGTTGCGTAAACTCTAATCGTTTAATTATCGACGATTGACGGGGTCGGTAAGATTAGGGTTTAAGGGGTTTTGGTGAGTGATGATCAGAGAAGAGAATGGTGGTGATGTGGAGTACCAATGATGCCGAAATCGAAAACAGAATATAAATTTGACTTTTAAAGTGATATTTTAAAAGTATGTAGATAAGAAAGTTTGTTAAACCATTATTTGGATGAGAAAAGTCATTTAACCCAGGAAACACTTTTTTTTTTTTTTTTGTATAATTTGTACAAATCTCTTGGGGCTGTCGAAGGGCAAAGGCCTATGTTTTCTTGTTCTAGGCCTAGGCTGTATAGGTTTCTAGCCTGGCTTTGCTGTTTTTAACATAATAATAAAATACCAAATCGCTTTTTATGGCACTAAGTAAAGTCTAATTATTTATTTATAAATATAGATATTAGTGTGGGTATTCTTGTAATATCACAAGGGACATCAGGTTAGGGTTTGCCTATAAAAAGGGGCCTTAACCCTATTTATTATTAGCTCATTGCCTCCCACGCTAAAAGTTGTGTAGGAGAGAATTTTCTTAGAATTTTCTTCCCTTTTTCTTTCATTTGACTTCACACTCAAACTAGCAAATTGATGTATTGGATTCTTGTCTTTGTGTGGATTCCATGCGTGCACTTCTCTCTTGAAGTGGTAGCGTTTTCACATCCCCGAATGAGCCTCCAATCGAAGGTTTGATTAAACATTTGTTTTATCTTATGTATATGTTTGTTTGAATGGGTTATTATTACATCAATCTATGATCCATGATATGGGTTTCAAATAAATTTTTGTTTACTATTCTGAACTTTTCGATTAAAACCTAAAAGCTTGACGAATGAAAAGACAAGCAAAGATCATGAAAAGGCAAGTTCAAACCTGAGCCTGATTCGGGACTGCTTTCTGCAAGAAGGGATCAATTCATGCCTCTATTTCCTCCCATTGACCTCCGTGGCAGACTACTAGAGGGTAAACAACGTAATTCATAGATATTTCGGAAGATCGCTGATGGCTTAGCAATGACTTCATCAACCAGTACATCTATTCCTTCGTCCTTTTACGTTGTTGTCAGCTAAACATTCGTAAGGGCCTCCACCCTGGCCTCCTTAGCTTTCCTGGGGTCCGACGATAGGAATGAGACGATCACCTGTTACACAAGTAGCCATCCACTTCCTCCTCTAGGAGGATGGACTGATAGACAGAACTCCCCCACGACCATCGGCATCACTGCCTACATCCCTCGAGATGCGAGAGAACTCCAGTAATAGTTCTAAGCTTTCCCAAGACCTCCTTGCCCATGATGTACGTTTGAAGGACTAGCACTGTCATCATGACATAGGCCATAGTGAAACATACCAATCTAGACGCCTCCTGATGGTTGCAATGACTCTCAAGGACCTCATATCTAGAGAACCATTGTTTCATCCACACAAACACCGTGGATGACATCTTTAGATCAAGGAAGAAAAAGTACAAAAGAAGACCCGGAAAAGCTAAAATTGGTCACAAGACTTGAGAGCAAGTGATTTGATAGTAGATGTTGAAACTATAACACAAGAGTACTTATATTTATATAGAGAAAAAGTGCTACTATGTCGCTTCAATACCCCGAAACACCTACAGCCTTTGTTGCTTCGGGAAACAAGATGGAAAATCAATCGCATCCCATTAAAGCAGCATCTGATGATGCTTGATATCCACCGAATAGCTGAGGAGCTGAAGACAGACAAAAAGGTTACAAGTGACAAGGCAACAAAGCAGCATTGATGGGATTTGACCATACAAGACTTAGTTTTCCAAGCTCACCTTGACCTTGGAAACTAGGGGACAATTGTTATGCGGGAAAAATCCTTAACCCAGACTGAGCAGAGAAGCCCAGACTAAGTAAGGAGCCTAGAACGCCTCTTAGCGTGAAGTAGCATCAAGCCAAGAAGGAAGATAGTCAGTAACGAAGCACGAGCACTCACATGAAAGCACGAACATAAGGTTGACAAGATCAAAAAAATGGTCTACACCAAGAAAAATTTGTCCCTTAGACAAATCAGCTTGTTAGAATAGGTGCCCTAGAGCCAATTATATTGTTGTATATTGACTCTATGAATCATGTATTCATAAAAGGCATCGTTTATACTATGCAAAGCATATTCTATATGTATATATTAACATATGTCCTTAAAGTGGTTGAACCGTGACAGGGAATCAAGTAGTGATAAGTCTTGATTATGAGATCCCTATTATCACATATGGTGGCCGTTCTAAAAATGTGCATAGCCCTAGTATTATCCTGACTTAGGGCAAAATAATATTGTAAGCTATCACGCGGTTAAACGACTCTACTGATAGTAGTGACAGATCTTGCATGTCAAGGTTGTTTGGGTGACAACTTGGTGTGACGCATGGATGCTTTATTCACGAGTCCACCGATTGGCCCATACAGAGGATTCCATCTAGATGGTAACCCCAATGTCTATGGAATGCATCCTCTAAGAGATGGTGGTGCATGCGATCCTAGACTAA